AGATAAGTTGCCACTTAGCAGGGTCACGAGTCCATGGCCTGTGTTTACCCACCGGCCTCTCAGGGTGTGAAAGGCTGGAGAGGGCGTCCCCATGAATGGCCCCTTGTGTGGAGTGATAACCAGGGCCGGCTTTAGGCCAATTCCACCAATTCCCCCGAATCGGGCCCCGCGCCTAAGAGGGCCCCGCACCCAGTAGCAGGGCCGCCCAGAGTGGGGGGCAAGTGGCAGAGAATCCCTTCCCTGGCTGGAGACACCTTTTTTTTACTCACCTGGTGGCACTCTGAGTTTTTGGCAGCACTTTGGCGGCGGGTCCTTCAGACCCGGAGCGAGTGAAGGACCCACCGCCAAAGACTAGGAGCGCGGCCCGGTGAGTACAAGCCCCACGTATTTTTTTTTACGTGTTTTTTTTTAGTCATCCCCGTCGGGGCCCCGTCAAAACTGTTCGAATCGGGCCCCGCACTTCCTAAAGCCGGCCCTGGTGATAACCCCGGTGAAATGGGGCTGTTTCCAGGGCCCCCAGGGCTCAGCCCCTCCCTGCGTCCAGGGCTTGGAAAACACACTCCAAGGCTGCCAGGTGGGTGCCAAGTACCTGCCTGGCCACGCCCCTCTGTGGTCACGCCCCCTGCCATTGAAAGGAAATGGAGCGACACAATTGGATACTCTCTCGGCTGTAACAGTATCAATCAACCTTTTGCTGAATGAATAAAATGTAACTGACTCAGTGGCCCTGGTCCTGTTTAACTCTTTCCTCCCTGCACTCTTTTTACAATGAAAGCTGTCACATGAACGCAGGAGGGAGATATAGGTTTATATATATATATGGAGATATACCTATCTCATAGAACTGGAAGGGACCCTGTAGGGTCATCAAGTCCAGCCCCCTGCCTTCACTAGCAGGACCAAGTACTGATTTTGCCCCAGATTCCTAAATGGCCCCCTCAAGGATTGAACTCACAACCCTGGGTTTAGCAGGCCAATGCTCAAACCACTGGGGTTTTAAGAAAAGCATCAAAGACCACAAGACTTGCACTAAAATCTTTGGAGCGGGCAACCCTGGCATAGGTCCAGAGCCCAGGGTGGGACTAGCACAGGGAGAAGCAGGTTAAGATCAAAGGCCTCAGCAGAGCGGTTAGGACCTGGGGAGGTGCGCGGGTGGGAAGGCAGGACTGGACCATCAAGGCATGTTGCAGAGAAGGACTGAGTATGGCAGAGAAGCTGTTGGGACCAGCAAAGCAGAGGACGCTGCCGGTCAGAAATAGAGAGAGGCATTGGCAGGATTAGGATGAGGCAGGCTCGACTAGCTGGGCAGTTGCAGGGCAATGGCAGAGGTGTGTGTGGGGGGGAAGCTTCCATGGCACCTGGCTCTAACTTGGTCCCTTCCTCACTTGCCGGGCAAGAGAAATCAACCCTGGAATTCCAAACCAAAAATAGCACGAGACCCGGCAAACAGCAGAGGCGCCTCTGGCACCGAACCCGGAGAGCAAGGTGTGGCTGGCAAACCCCAGGCAGGCGGGAGTTACAGTTATACTTGCTCGCTAATGGGTAGGATTTTGCAGGAATCTACTTCAAAGGCTACCGTGAAACGTGACGGATCCGGGCAGGAAGTCACGGCTGCGATGCTCACCTTGAAAGCAACCGGAGCCGGCAGCAGATTGTATGAGGGGAGAGAAAGAGCAGCACTCAATTACCGCCCGGGGACTTTCCGCACAGGGACTTCAAACGCAGCTCACAGTGCAATGAGCTGCTGCACCCCCTGAGATGTTAGCAGAGCCAGCCGTGCCCGCTTGTTACGCCCCATCCCAGCACTAGCGGGGGGAGCAAGGGAATCATGCTCCATCTGGGCCCAATAACCCTGGAGCCAGAGATACCGCAGGTACTATCCTGGCGTCTTACCATCCTACTCATCCGGCAGAGGATCTCTTGCCCTGCAGGGTGAATTCCATTGAATGACACTGAGTTCCTGTAAAAAATGACACTCCCTCCCTCGAGGACTGGAAGCTTTCTGAACCCCAGGACTGCTGCAGCTCTGCAAGCTGCCCCACAACCCTGGGACTGCACCTCAGTGCTGTTCGGCAGCCCCTCTACGATTCCAGTCCTGGGGTCCCCAAACACATCTCTGTTGATGCCCCTCAATCCTGACCTCCAGCCCCTGCTAGTCCTGTCCTGAGTTTCCTCCTCCCAGCAGCTGTCAGTGCCCCTCACTCCTGATCTGAATCACACTCTGCAAGTCTAGTTCCTGAATCTCATTGATCGTCGTGGTCGCTTAGCACTTTTCAGGGACAAGTCTGGTCCCCATTGAAGTCCATGGAGCAGCATCTCATGTCTAACCAAGGGCAGAATTCACCCCATACAGTGCTTAGTTTTCTACCACTGCTCTAGGTCAGCTTTGGAAAGGAGATAAGAGGGGCCGCAACATTTTTTACCCTGCACAATGTTGCTGAAAAAATGTTGCCATTTCATGTTAGACAATTACGTGATGCAAGATGAAACCGCCTGGTTCCCACTGAAAACAGGGGACATCTGAACCTCCCCACGGTCCTGACATTTTTGAGCAGTTTGTGGGTATTGCTTGAAAACAGGATCAGTTCAGAATGCAGGGCAGCCTCATTCCTCGGCGCAGCCCCCCCACTCCTGGCTACATTTCAAAACTTTTCTTCTTGTCAGCTTGAACCCTTGGGGCGATCCCTCAAATGAAACATGAAAACCTGGATTTCCCCCCCCAGGATTTTACATGTTATTCCAGCTAGATCCTCGCCCCCAAATTATTACTAGTATATTGCATCTAGGGCCCTCAGACAGGGCTCAAGGCCCACTTGTGCTACCAATAACACAAAGACGGTTCCTGCTCGAGCGCTCGCAGTGCAGGAGCGAGACAAAACATGACTGGGGAATGAACAGAGAAATGGTGGGAGGACGAGGTAACAGCAGGGAACGGGGCGAGTGTGCAGTGGAAAAGTCCTGGTGGTCTCTGCAGTCACAGGTTAATTTCCAGGTCTGGAAGTCACGTCCTTCAGTGATTGATTTGGGCTGCCCAGCCTGCGAACCCTGCATGCATGGAACTCTGCGGAAGCCAGCTGGGCCCCAATCCTGGTGCTTGTTGCATGCAGGCTGCCACACACAGCCTCTTGGGACGTCGAAAGGAAGGCATCAAGCGGTGGGATCAGGGCCTTTCCTGCAGGAACCAAGCTGGCAGGATCAGGCCCAGCCGTAGTATGCTTTCCACTTGAATAAACCCCACAGTCCTTGCAGCAGCCAGGAGCTCAAGGCAACCCCTCAGAGGCTTCTAGCCCGTGATAAGGGATCATGGGACGTTATCATAATTCACGCCTCCCGGAAAGGTGTTGCCATCACATTACACTTCCCAATACACTATACATGAGGTTAAGGCTGGAGTTTTACGAGCGCTTTGTCGGCTCGGAATGGCATTCAGCACCTCGGGCCCTTCCCTGGACTTTATGGGAGAGTTCCTTCTTCATTAGGGTTTATGGTGGCAGCATAAATACCACCCTCGATTATTTTTTATAAGGCTCACCTATAATCTTTCATTTGTAACGGCTGTTCGGAAGGGCCCCGTGGGGGGCTGTTCTCAGCTGGTCAGAGTGTAGGACTGGGGGCTAGGTCGGCTCGATAGAAAATCACAAATACATACAGTAGTAGGGAATGATCCCACAGCGCCAGGTGTTGGTAGGATGGGTCCTAGTGCTAGGGGAACAGCACTGATCTCACGTCACCTGCTGGTCCCAGTGCTCGAGAACAGGGCTAAGCATGTGAACAGCCCCCGGGATCTTTGCACAACTAATTCTGGGCTTAAAGCTGACACCAGGGCTAACTCCACCGTAGCCAGCACCTTGTGTGAAGCCAGCCAAAGTAGAAGCCCCAGCAGGCCCAATGTCTCGAGTGTCCTCAAGCCCCCCGCGTCAGCCATCACTGCAGTGAAGTCGGTGGAGTCACACCAGTGGAACCACTGGCATCAAGAGCAGAATCAAACACACAAAAATCAGGGAAGTCAGGGCCTGCTTGCCCTCTGGCTTGACTCCAGTGTTGCTTCACTGCCTGCCATGGAGTGACTCCTCCCGGTTTACTGGGGTGAGACGCCGATGACCAGGTCAAATAGAATTCCAGTGGAATTTTCAGAATGCTTTGGAGGGTTCGCATGACAGGCGGCGTTCAGAGCGCGGCATGGGGAGGGATCTTTCGAAAGCGCTTGGGGCCAGCGTTTCAAGTGCTCCGCACCCAGAACTGGAGCTAGATTTTCAAAACCGCTCTGCCCCCAGCGTGCTGAGCGCATCTACAGATTGGGTTCTGACTCTGAGTACTGGCCCAGGCAGTTTTGAAAATCCAGGCCTTAGGGCAAGTTCTACCGTGGGCATTTTAAAAAAAATCTTACCCAGCTGAGGACATTAAAAAAAAAAAATGCTGAGCAGGTGAAAAGAAAGTCAATGTATCAGTGTGAATTACATTGTGGAACGTTTGCTGAAGGATTAGAATATTACAAGGACACTTCCTCCCAATTATTTGTCTCCTTTGAACTAAAGTGTGTGTGTGTGTGTGTGTGTGTGTGGTCCGGCGGTAGTGGGAGGACAGGGAGGATATTTCTGTGTTTGTACCAGGAGTCCAGCCGCACAAGGGTGCAAGATCTCTTAAATACATTCTACTTTAACACCCAAACGTGTCCTTGTCCCTAAGGAGGCGGCGGGAGGGGCAGCATTTCTCAGCTTGCTCTGTTCCCAGGGATTTACCATATGCCCCCGCCTGAAGCTTTGCTGCCCAGTAGGAGGACACCCCCCCCCCCCCCCTGGGGTGAACAGGATGGCACCGAGATGAAAGGTGATATAAGATCAAAGCGCCCGGGGCTGATGAGTCCCCCTTTGCTACTCATTTTGGTGCTCTGTCTCTTTAAGGCATTCCTCAGGGAGTGGCTTGGGTGACATCAGCTCAGGGCATGAATGAACAGGACTGAAGTTTCCCACAAACTCCCATTAAGTTGTTCATGGCAGGAGGGCGCAGATAAGGCCCCAGCAGGAGAGAGACTCGGAGCATTTCAGCCTCTCCGGAGGGGCCCAGGCCAGAGCCATGGAAAGCGGATGGGGACAAGCCCCCTTCTACTTCGCCCTCCTGCTGCTCCCCAGCGCCCTGCTCAGCTCCCGGGCCAAAGAAGGTAAACACGAAGCTTTGCCCGGGGTTTTGGAGCCAGAGGCCGGGTCCACCCCACCGGCCGCCCCCTTGGGAACTCGGCGCCCCTCTCTGGGGGGGGAGCGGGGAGGAGTGAGGGTCTTCCCCTGCCTTGATTTCGGGTTGATCCGCCGCCGATCTCCTCGCGTGGGGCCCGCGACACGTGTGTGTGTGGGGGGGAGAGGGGCTGAGAACCGAGGCCGTGGCGACCAAAGGGGGGTGTGGCCCCAGGGGCGAGTGGGGGGCAGGAGCTGGCTTGGCCGGGGCGGAATCCAGAGGTGCCCGAAAGAAAGAAAAAAAAAAAAACGCGCCGCGGCAAAGATTTGCAGGACACCGAGCAAGTTTGATAAACTCCCGTCGGCACGTCGCTGTTTCGCAGACAGGTTGATTTAGCGGCGCGCGGGATTGGGTGTGACTCCGGATCGAGAGGCGCACTCATCCCCGCGCGGTGAGTGGCTAGGAGCGGGGATTAGCGAGCAGGCACCTTTTGGCCGGGAAGTGTCACGCGTGGGGGGGTTGTTCGGTGGAGGAACCGGCTGCCGTGGGTAGGTGGGAGAAAATCGCCCCGGGTGAATGGATTTTCCCCGGCTTCACATACCCGGGGGAAGGCGAGGGGCCCCTTCCGCCTGCTCCGAGTCTGTGGAAGTCGCCTGGCCCCCCGGGAGAAGTCGCTATTGCACCACTTCGGCCCAGGGTGGCTGATTCAGGGCGATGTCACGCTTGGCCCGAAAGTGCGAGCAGTGACACCTCGGTTACACAACCGCCTGGCTCGCCCCGATTGGGACAGGGCCCCACAAGCCCACGGCAGGGCCAGGCAGGAGGGGAGGGGGCTGACTCACTGGTCGGAAGGTGCATGAGGTGTTGCATTGCATGGTGTGAACCATTAAAGGGTGTGTATGTGGGGGTGTCTTTCCTCATTTTGTCCAGAAGATTCCTTCTTTACATGCAGTTCTGCCCATTGTTAATTGAGAGACTTTATTAATGTGTTGCCTGAATGCTGCTTTTGTAAAAATGTCAATTGCATGAGTGGTCTTTCTCCTGACTTAGAAACCTCCCAGACACACCCATGATATATCAGAGAGAGGGCCAGATTCTGCTTTCAGTGACACCAGACTAAATCTGAATTTACCGCCGCTGATTTCTAGTAAAGTTGCTCCAGATTGACTCTGGCCTTTAGCGTTCCGAAGCCAGAATTGTTAAATTCAATTTTGGGGGAGGCAGAGGAAAATTGGTCCCAAATTCCAAGCCGTACTTTTACCATGTAATGCTTCCAGACAGGTGGGGCCGAGGTCCGACTCAAAGCTTTTCCAGAGTTTGGATCTAGGCTTTTTGGGTTTGGGCCCATGTCTGAAACATTCCCAGCGTTCTAGGGTTTCACCTACACTCCTGGGGATTGCCGCCCTGGGAGAAAAATCAAAGCAGATTGAAGCAGAATTCCTGCCTGAAATATTTAGGACAATATCAGGACAATATTAAGAGTTGTTTAAAAATCAAATAAACTTTTCCCTATCCTTCACTCACCCCTTCGCGCTGAGTGATTACAATGACCAGGACAAGGGTGCTTCTAGGGGTTAAGTATCAGGGGGTAGCCGTGTTAGTCTGTATCCACAAAAACAACAAGGAGTCTGGTGGCACCTTAAAGACTAACAGATTTATTTGGGCATAAGCTTTTGTGGGTAAAAACCTCACTTCTTCAGATGCAGAGCATCTAGGGGCTGTCTTCTTTCTGTGTCCTGAGTAAGTAGACGCACCTTTATACTGGTATAACTGTGCATCCATATACTGCTTTAACAAGATCTGTTTCTACACTGATATAGTCATCAGATTGCTACAAAAACCGGTGTGCAGACAAGCTCGCAGGGGTCAGTAACTGATCTGCGCAATGGTCAGACTCCCACTGGCTTTGAGCCTTGGCTTAGGTCCAGAGAGCAACTCAGGCATGCTGCTTGGAGGCCCCCGGGATGGCTCCCAAATTTTGATCAGCTCCAGCTTCAGCCCAAAGCATGGGGCTGTTCCGATCTGGCGTCTGAGTTCTCTCCATGATAGAGATCCGGGGTTATTTGCAAAATTCCCACCTAGAACTGAATGGTGGGACTGAGGATGTTTGTCTGGACCCGTCTTTCATTCAAAGGAGCCATTAGAAAAGCCATTGGATCTAACTCTGAAATTTTGTGTGTGTGTATCTTTAAAAAAAAAAAAGTATTGTAAAGAAATCCAAACCCTAGGTGTTGGCACATGACACCAGGATGGTTTTGGTCCGATGCTGAGTTATTGGATTTCTTTTAAAAAAACCAAGCCGAGTGTGGTTTAGGCATGGAGGAATTTGGAATAATACGCACGCTTGGGCAGATGGGCTGTAATTGCTCAGAAAGACGCATAAGAATCTATTGCGTAAATAGTGATTTAAGGCAACCCCCCCCCCCCCCCAAAAAACCCCAACAATTTAACAGCAGCTGCTAATTTGGGGCGCTTGGATTTTTAAGTACTCAGCACGGGAGCTCGTTTTGTGGGTGCCCGAGATTTGATATTGCTGCCTCTCAGGTTGGCCGCCCGCAACTAGGAGCCGCTCTTGGATATTAGACCATCCTTAAAACCAGGCATCGCTACCACAGCTTCCCCGCGCCGCCTGATTAGCTCCCACGAGAAGGAGCCGCTGGAAGGTTGTGGCAGTTTTTCAGATTAACGTTTGCGTTTGTTGTTTTCCAAGTGCCAAAAGTAATTGGTGTCTAATGTGGACTAATCTCTTGCCAAATTGCAGTTTCCAATTAACATTGCTGTGGAATGAGACGAGGGCTCCCCGCATCTATTTTTATGCTTTTTATGCTGCAATATACCAGCAAAATCAGCTGCTTTAAGAAAACGTGCTTTAAATCAGTCCTTGGGCTATAACCTTAGAAGTATAGTCAAGGGTGAAATTCTCCTTTCCGATCTGCATGACCGATCTTGACATTACTATTCTGTTACCCCTAGGAGTAACGATTCTGCATTAGGGAAAAAACCCGGAGTTCCTCCATACGTAGGGAGAGCAAACCATGCTAGATGAGGGGCCAGAGGAGATCTTTGCCATTAGTCCAGAGCCCTATTATTACAGTTAATATGCTCTGGGGGTCTGAATGCAGATCTACAACTGGAGATCTAATCCCTGCTCTGACAACCGGCTCCCTTTTTGGGGCTGGTCTGCATTGCCTACAATAGGCTAGGTAATTCTCCACCAAAGATAGAAGCTATGGTGTAGATAAGTCTCAGATGTTCTCGGTGGGGCAACGCATGCGGTGGCGGGCGGGTCCCATTTTATCAGCCTTTGTGGCCTTGAGCAAATCACTTCACTTCTCAAATAAGATTTTTCCTTTGTTGATTTAATGTTTTTAATAGCCAGTTAAAACAGATTAAACCCCGCACTGAAAAGGGAAGGGAGAAAAGGATTAAAATGGGGGGGGGGCAGGGGGGGGGGGGGGGAAATCTCTTCCAGCCTGGGAAAGCTTTGCCTGGATGACAGCACAAGCAGAGAGACAGACAGGCAGACTGTGATTGGGGTTTCCCCCCCTCTTGAGTAAAACACTTAAATAAAACCTCGGAGTTGGGGCTGCTTCGGTGACCAGGCCCCCCGTGTGCAGGCCAAGGCCCGCTGAGATGTTTGTGTTGTTCACATCGCCTTCCGAGTAGGTTGGAGGGGGAGATAGTTAACGTTACAGAGCACGCATGACAGACGCGGGAGCTTTGCTCACCGAGGCCCCGATCCGGCACAGCCCTTAAGCACATGCTGAAGTCCAGGAAAGCACTAAGCTCAGATCCTCGAAGGTATTTAGGTTCCTGACTCGCACTGGAAGTTAGGAACCTAAATCCTTTTGGGGATCGGGGCCTAAATGCCCCCAAAGTCCAATGGGATTGAAACTGGGCCTGAAACCGGCGTTTGCAAAGGCTGGGGCGGTGAGTCAAGAGATCCGGGTTCCAGGCTCTGCCACAGAGTCACTGTGCAGCGTCACTGCCTCGCTCTGTGCCTCGGTTTCCCCAGCAGAGGAGTGGGGGGAGCGATCAGCCCTGCAGCTGCCCTGTCAGCTACAAAAGGGGGAGATTCAGATGAATCTTTGCAAAGCGCCGGGGGCGGGGGGGCGGGGAGATAAATGGGCGAAGAAAGCGGAGGAAGCAGCACCACCAGGCGCCCTGGAATGACGGGGATGGAAACGAGCTGAGCCCACCTTGGCGTATAACTAAGCCCGTGGCGTTAGCTGGGCAGTGGCAGAGACGGGTCGCTGCTGGCAGCCGGCCTGTAGCCACGAGAGAGGAAATGAAGGGCCTGAGTGAGCTCCCTGGTTGAGCTGCTCCGGGCTGGGGGTTCCTGCCGAGCCAGGAGCCTGGGCACCACACCCGGTTTGCCTGCGGATTGCAGCCACCTCCTCTCTCATATGGAGGCGCGGCTGGTGGAGGGGCAGGTCCCAGCACGCGATGTAGCAATGCTGGGAAACAGGGTGCTAGGATGGGTCGCCTCCATGTGCTGCAGGGGGAGGGTGGTAGTACCCAGGAACCTTGTTGGGGTAAGCGATAGCCAGCTCCTTCCAGGAGTGCAGCTCGGGACGCAGGGAGCCGCTGGGTGGTGACGTTAGGCGGCACGGGCTGGGTTAATTAGTGTGGGGGGCCAGAGGGAACCCCAGGGTCTGTCTGCAGCCGGCAGCCTCGAGGATGGATCCTCTTTGTGTTTATCACAGGCCCTCCTGTGCCCGCTCTGCTAAACTCTCCTCCCAACAGCCGCCTGGCTCAGGGGTCTAGCTCACGAGACCTGCCCCGTCCCAGGCGCACGGGAGCTCGGAGAAAGCCCCTGTATAAGACCAGTCATCAGCGAGGCTTTAACTCCTTGGCTGCTCTTTCAAAACCTGCTGTGACTTGTCAGGTGCAACCTGCTGATGGAGCAGGAGGGAGCGCCCTCTCCCTGCGTGGGCCAGGGGCTCGCCCCTGCTGCTAGCCAGTAGGCAGGGGGGTGGGACTGGTGCTCGGGCTGAGAACTCTCAAACTCGGCTCGCTGCCGCTGTGCGAGATCCCGGCTGTGCTTTCCCTCACTGCCACGGGGAGGAGGGGGTATGGGGGTGCAGGAGAACCGGGAAGAGACCTCCTGTGTCAGGAAGTGTATTCGGATCGGACCCGCAGAACTAGCCTCCCACATCCTTTATCCCTGCACAGAGAGGGGATGCTGGCTCCTGGATCAAAGAGATGGGGCGGGGGAGCCCATGGAGCTGGGCTGTCCCATGTTAGCCGGGTGGGCCTGAACCCCACCCCCAAGCGCCCTGCTGGGGCTCTTCTTAGGCACGGGTTCATTCGCCCCTGGATTAAAGGCATTTCCAGCCCTAGGGCTGGGCTGGGCCCGAAGGCAGGTACCAAAAGATGGATCCACAGAACCAAAGGGGCTTCGCTGCCCAGCCTGCTGCCCAGGTCCAGTCTGCCCCACGGATCCACCCTGTACTTGCCCCTATCCAGGAACCCGCCCTTAGCCGCACCACCGCAGGCAGCGCAGAGGGGGTGCTCGGCTGGGTATAAGCGGGGAACTGTGAAGGCAAAATGGAGTCTGGAGCAACCTTGGGCAACTGCCCTGGGTGGGAGTGGAAATGCAGGGGCTCGTCGGAAAAGCGGGGCCCAAGCTGGGTCACGTGGGGGGGTGGTGTGCAACGGGGCTTAGGGACCCTCTGGGGTGCAGAGCGTGGATTGCCTGATCTGTTTGGTCCTCCTGCAATCCGGCCCCACCAAGGCGCCGTCCGGTCAGCTCTGAGGGTGCGTCTACACGGCGATCAAATGCAGCCACCGGTCTCGCGGCCCGGAGCAGCTGTCTCAGGCTGCAGGGCTATAAAACTGCAGTGTAGACGTTCCGGCTCGGCCCGGTGCCTGGCCTCAGAGACCCTGGCGCCTGGGCGTCTACACTGCAACTGGACAGCCCAGCGAGCCCAAGTCAGCTGACCCGGGCCAGCCGCAGGACTAGTGCCACGTAGCCCTACCCTGAGATGTGGCGGCAGGGAGCACCCCCATGCAGCAGGCAGAGCCCAGTTCTTTCCTCCCCAGCAGCCGGCTGGTGGGTAGCAGGACCTGCAGGTCCTTTGGGAGGAGCAGAGGCCCTGCTGTTTCTCATGCCCACCTGGTGGGGCTGGCAAGGGGGGCGTGTTTCTTTAAGGGAAGCTGGCGGGCTGGAGCAGGGAGATCTGGCCACTGCTGCTTTAGGGAGGGAGGGAGGGTGTGGCGCCAGCTCTGCTGCCCTGGGAGAATCACCATGAAGAGATTCCCCCCCCCGCCCCCTCCGCTCCCCAGCAATAAGTTAGAACAGAGTGAGGGGAGCCTGGGGACTGCAGCCCGTCCCAGGTGGCCCGGGGCCCCTCGGTGTCCAGGCTGCAGCGTTCCTCCCCCTGACTCCATCCAGGCTGCCCCTGGCTCGCACAGATCTGAGGGGGGAGAGTCGGGCCCCTCTTCCCCAGCCTGAACCCTGGGCTCCGTAACAGCCCGAGCCAGGAGCCCATGGGGTTCGTGCGCCTCTGGCCTGGCCGATGCCCTCCACCGCTCGCTCAGAGATCCCTGATGCTAACACATTCCTGGCTGGCTGATTCACTGGGGCTTGGCAGGGCCCTGATGGGCTGGGTAATTGCTTCCGCTCAGGCCTGGGCTGCTCGCCCTTTGATTTCACTGCCCCTGTCATGCGGCTGCTGGGTTATTTGTTTTTCTTTCCTTCTTTCCTTCCTCTTTTCAAACCCATCTGATCCCTTGGCAGGTCCCAGCCTCCGCCCCTGGGCTGATGGGGACAGGAGGCTCCGGCCCCGGCATGTCTGAACATGTCTTGTGAGGGTTTGGCTGGCTGAGGACAGGGGCTTGCCATGGCAGATCCGATCACTGGCCAGTCAAGGCCAACAGTGGCCAGTGCCTGTGGCTTCCTGTTTGTTATGTGCCTGTGCAATGGTACAGTGCTCCAGCTGGTGGGGCTAGGGGTGTAGTTCTTTCCTGCCCCCTGTGCCATGATCTGCCTTGTTGTCATTACCTTCACTTTGCATGGCTCCAGTTTTTGCTTGTGGTTGCAAAATAGACTCGTCCTCTCAAAGACTCCCAACCGCAACGTTTGCCTTGATGAGGAAAGATGGCCTTGTGGTGAAAGCCCTGGGCTGAGACTCGGGCCGGCTGGCTTCTGCTCCCAGCTTTTCCACAGGCTCCCTGGGTGATCTTAGGCAAGTCGCTTACTCCTTCTGAGCCTCAGTTTCCCCACTTTAGAATGAGGCTAATCACACTCCCCTAATCACACTCAGAGCATTATGGGGGTAAATCTCTCGGTAATGAATTAGGAGGTACTTGGAGTGAGGAAGCTGCGGAAATGCTTAGAAATCCTGCAGCGGTGAGTTACACAGGTTGGCAGTGCGGTGTGTGAAGACGGGAAGGGTCTTGTGGTTACAGCAGTGGTTTTTGTGAGCCAGACCTAGGAGAATGAGGGTTACCCCCTCCCCACCCCAGCCCTTCTTCCAGGCACAGATAGCACCAAGCAAGGCCTAGCTCCTGGGACTGATTCTGCTCTCACTCCCAGCGGTGTAAAGCAGGAAGGCAATGGGGTTACAGCACTGCAAGTCAGGGAATAAGCAAGAGCAGAAAGAGTGGGGTGAGGCTTCCTCCAGCAATCCTAGCCCAGCCCATGTGCTGAGACCCAGAGAATGGAGACAGACACCCCCCTCACCCCCGGCCTCCCCACCCCGTTCCAAGCCCCCTTGGAGGCAGAAGGGTTGGTTTGCAAGCTGCAGCGTTACGGTAATGAACGGTTTGCAGGCTTGGCAGCTGCGAGCAGCCGCTGGATCCAAACCGGCGTCTGGAAGAGATTTTGTTCCCCCAGCACCGCGGCTCCTTCTCACACAGTGGAAAAAACTCTGGAGAATGGGAGCGCTAAAGAGGAAAACCCCGGAGGTGACAGGGATCATGCCTGTTTGGGGTGAAGGACCAGCGAGTCGGGGGGGGGGGGTGTGCAGCAGGAAGGACTGAATCGGATGCTGCCAGCACAGGAGTTAGCAGAGCAAAGGGGCATCCTGCCTGGTATCCTGTCTCCGAAGCCGCATGCTTCCGAGAAAGGCATTAGACCTGCTACTGCAGTGATAGGGGGAGGGAATTCCTGCCTGACCTCTGTTGAGCTGGTGCCCTGAAGCATGAGGGCTGATAACCTCATAATCCTTATCCCAGCTAGCGCAGATTCATCTTTGTCATAACGCCATTGACTTCATTGGGGTTACACCAGGGATGATTTGGCCCTATTGTCTAACCCGACCTGGCTTCCTCTTAGCCATGAGCAAAGCTAGGCCGGCCTGATCTTTGCCGGAACCTCCCTCTTGCACCTTTGGATCCTCTGCCCTTTCCTCTCGGGCTGCCGCCCTGTTCTCTAGCTCATTAGTCAGCTGCTCAAATACGGGGAATGAGGGCAAATAAAAAAGCAGTCCGGAGATAAGCGTGAGATAAGGGTGCTGGTGTCTCCACCCCTGATGGTGACTGCCCAGCACCGGGGGTATGACGCTGCTGCAGCCCCTGCGGCTTTGGGGACCCGGCACAAAGGGGCAGGGGAGAGTGGAGACCAAGGCCATAGGAAGCGAGTGCCTGCGTTGAGAGGTTACTCCTGGGCAGAGCTGTCCTGCTCCGGCTCTGTGCTGAGCTGCACGGCCACCCGGATTTCGTATTGCCCCGCTCTGGGGAACAGCCACCATCGGCCCCTCGTGCCAGCGTGCGAGAGCGGAGGGTTCTGATCTGGGCCAGGCATCTGGTTGTCTGTCGGCGGGATGAGGTGCCTGCCGCTGGGTTGTATATTCCCCCTCCCCTGGTCTAACGGTGTTCGTTTGCTTTCCCTTTCAGTCGTCCTGCTGGATTTTGCCATGGCCCACGGGGAGCTCGGCTGGCTGACCCATCCCTATGGGAAGGGGGTAAGTCTGAATCCCTAGCGCTAGGCGGGAGCTCTCGGGTGGGGGGAGAAGGGGGGAGGCTCACTCCGTAGATCCGCTCCTGATTCACCCTGGGGTTAGCGAGAGGAGAATCCACTTCGACGTCCGTTGGGAGGCGGAGGACACAGGAGGTGCCCATGCCTTGATTGGTGATCAGACCCTCTGGGAGTAGCAGCCAGGGCCTAGGGAACTCTTTGCCTTTCCTTTCTGGATCCTGCCCACCCTCAACTCAGTTTAAATCCAGAGTAACCGCTCTAGTGTAAATGGCAGCGGAATCTGGCCCAGCAATGCTGGCTAGTGATGGGTGGGGAGCTTTTCAAACTCAGCCCTCCCCTTGAGAGGGAGTGCCCAGCTCTGACATGTGATGTGAATTGGGTGGGCTGTACAGGGTACATTTGCTTTAAACATAACATAGGCCAGGGCCAAAGCTCAGGGTGGGGAGGGGGCGGTTTGTCCTTCCATAAGCAGGTTCGGTTTATTGCCCAGAGATGGGGGTTGTGATCTTGTCCGTGATCTCATGTGGGCTGGGGAGAAGGCTGGGCAGCCCCGGGGCTTTGGGTGGTGGCTTTAAGGGCTCACCACAGTCACTGCTTTTCCACAGCCAGTTTTTAAAGTTGATCAGGTCAGTTCAAACCAATCCATGACTCCAGCCCTTTGAGAGCCCCTTTGGTGTGATGATCCCTGGCCCTAGAGGGGGGTAGAGCCGTGCTGGGGGCCTCAGGAAAGAGCCGGGCCCTGCCCGACGGGAGCTGTCCTGCGGGGCGGCGCACATCCCGATGTAGGGAAGGGCACAGGGGGCATTTCCCCTAGCAAGGAGCCGAAGATCAGGCTCTGGAAGGAAGGCAGGGCCTTGCTTGGCAGGCCTCTGTGGTGGGGTCTTTGGAAGGGATGTAGGCTAGAGATCAGGCAGGGTCCTATTGCTGCTTGGGTGGGTGGGGAGGCTGGAGTTAGGCATCCACGCCTTCACCCCCCGTTCATTGACCCCTCCTTTATATGGCCCCAGGTCGCACACCCTGGGCCAGGCGCTGAGCTCTGGCCATCCAGCCCGGCACCACCGATGCCGGAGAGACTGCTCTGGATTTCCTGGCGGTCACTGAGATCAGAGCCTGCCCCCCTGTTTCCTTGATCAGGGAGCAGAGATCGAGGTGTGGGGGGTATACTCTGGGGGGCCCCGCGGTCGCCCGATTGCAGGGGGGACGCAGTGTGTGAGGGGCTAAGTGCCAGCCGTGGGGCATCAGCAGAGCTGTGCGGGGAGGCCCAAGGGTGGAATAGCAGGGGCAGGTCTGCAGTGGGGCTGCAGGAGCTAGCGGCTTCGGCCCAAGGGGGCCAGCATAGCAGGCTGGTGCATTGGGGATGGCCGGAGGGTGGCTGGAGCTCTCAACACACGCTGTGGGGGAATCTCTTCTCCGGCCCTGCCAGACTGCCGGGAAACGTTCCAGCCCCTGGGGGAGTCGCATGGGGTGGGCGGGGAGGCCAGGGGGCTGCCGGGTGGGATCAGATGTCCCTTGTTTGCAGCAGTGAGGAGACCCCCAGGCTGGCTGCCCCTTCCTCTTCCTCCCCCCGCCCCAACCCGAGCGGTTATTTGTTTTGGTCTCTCCAGGCAGGTTTCCTATCTCCTGCCCTCCTGTGGGCCATGTCAGGAGGTTAATTGGCCGGTGTGTTCTGCCCTCCGCCCGCAGGACTGTGCTGACAAGTTAATCCCCTGGGTTTGCTAAACCTCGGCTATTTCCAAGGGCCAGGTGGAACCCGGCTGGCTCCAGCCCCAGCCCCAGCCCCGCCTGCCTCTCCCAGCCCCAGCTTTTGCCCCAGCCATGCTGCCAGCCCCATCTGGCTCCCAGTGGAAAGATACCCATTGATGTCAAGGAGCGCAGTGGGTCAGAGTGTCGTTGGCTGGCCTGGCTTCCCAGGAATGGGATGAGATTGAATTTAATTTCCAGCATGTGGAATAATTTGGAAGCAGGGCCCCCCCTATGGCTGGGGTGAGAACCAGTCGACAGTCCTGGCTCTAGCAGGGAGTGGGCAGCTTGGTCCGAGCTCTGTGTTTGCACTTTGCAGGCTTGTGCTGGGCACCCAGAATCAGAGGCCCCTTAATAATGTTGGGCCTGAACCGCCACATGCCTCAGTTCCTCCATCTGTAAAACCAAGGTTGGTCTCTTGACCTGACGAGCTCACCGGAGGGTCGAGGATCAATATCCATCCCTGGATAATGGCAGCGTATCTGTAGGAGGCCAGGCTGTAGGCAGCGGAGGGGGCGGGCGTGGGGCAAGTGGTATTGGGCATTGGGATCAAACCGCCCGTGGCTGCCTTCGGTTGCAGGGCGGAGCCGAGGTAGCTGCTGGGTTCGGCAGTTCCCAGCTCCCTGCTTCAGGGCATGAGCCAACCTCCAGCTGAGGGGGTCAGGAAGAAACGTAACCAGGGGCCCTGCAGGGTTTCTTGCACCGTCTTCTGACCATCCGAGAGAGGAGCCGGGCTGGCAGTGCCTAGGCTCCAGCCCCGGCAGCCCATTTTGCTCTCATTTAACCCCTCGTCTCCCCCGGGCAGTGGGATCTCCTCCAGAACGTCATGAACGAATCCCTCATCTACATCTACTCGGTCTGCAACGTGATGGAAGGTGACCAGGACAACTGGCTGCGGACCAACTGGATCTACCGCAGCGAGGCTGAGCGCATCTTCATCGAGCTGAAGTTCACGGTGCGGGACTGCAACAGCTTCCCGGGCGGGGCCAGCTCCTGCAAGGAGACCTTCAACCTGTACTACGCCGAGTCGGACGTGGACTACGGCACCAACTTCCAGAAGCGCCAGTTCACGAAGATCGACACCATTGCGCCCGACGAGATCACCGTGCGCGAAGACTTCGCCTCCCGCAATGTCAAGCTCAACATGGAGGTGCGCACGGTGGGGCCCCTGAGCCGCAAGGGTTTCTACCTGGCCTTTCAGGACATTGGGGCCTGCGTGGCCCTGCTCTCCGTCCGCATCTACTACAAGAAGTGCCCCGGCGTGCTGCAGAACATGGCGCTCTTCCCCGAGACCATCGCCGGCGCTGACTCGCAGGCGCTGGCCAAGGTCAGGGGCACGTGCGTGGAGGATGCGGTGGCCAGCGAGGAGCCCAGCATGCATTGCAACTC